GAAATTGTCTCGAAGAAACGAAGCGAATGATATCGGTATCGTGTCCTAATTATACAGTTTCTAGAACCTGCAGATTCATTGGATGGAGGTTGAAGATGACTAACATGTCATCTATCAACCAAAGAAGGCGTGCCACACATTTTTTCAAATCTGATTTAAATAATTGATTCCATGTTTTATTCACTAAATACCATGACATGCACAACGTGTCTGATCCATTGGATTAACTTGCTAATGCTTTTTGACTCTCACCTATTGGTCCATCTTTTTTTGACTTTATTTTTATTTCTGATTTTTATATTTAAATTGTTTTAAACTTCAAAAAATCATAGAAAATTCATTTTAACTTCAAAAAATCTGAAAAAAATTATGAAAAATACTTTTGATTTTTCTCTTTGTGATTATTATTTTTTTACAATTTTATTTTTTGTTCTGATATTTTTTATAATTTTTCACTTTATTTGAATTGCTTTAAATATTTAAAAATACTTTTCTTAATTTTTAAATTCTGAAAAATATAGAAGGATCCAATGATCTTTTGACAAATATTAGTGACCTCATTTTATTTTTATTTCTAAATTTACTATTTTTCACAATTTTTGGTTTGTTTTGCCTATTTCTTTTAATTTTAAAAATAGTTTCTGACTTTAAAAAATTATGAATTTTTTTTATATAAATATTTGAGCTCATTTCTGATTTTTCTATGGTCTTGTTTGATTTTTCTTGGATGTTTTGAATATAGTTGCTATTTTCTACTTTTATTCTCATTTTTAAACCTTTTTTTTAAAATATTTTTCTTTATTTTTTAAATATATTTTATCTTGTATATATTCTGAATGATCTTGGACTATGAGATTTTGATAATAAGCTTTATTAACATCATTGAATCCATGATGTTGAGTTTAACTCCACAAAAAATGGATGTATGATTTTAATAATAGCTTGATTAAATTTTTGGTTCAAATGTGGTTTAATTCTTACCCCACCCCTCTTCATCTTATCCCATTCTTATTATACTAAATGTTATTGGAGAATGATTTCCATATCATTTATCAAAACATATGGTACATAGATTGCTATTGATCAACCTCAAAATAAGTGTGACTTCTATATAAGTTCACTTATGATTGCTTAACATAGCACTAAATTTTGTCCCAATTTGAGAAAATGATCATTCGTGGCCCAAACTCATGCTTGTAAGCCCAAGTATGTTAATTTGAACCATTTGATCCAATAACCTTGAGATTCATTATTACGAGGCTTTGGTCCTATCAATCATCTAATGAATTTTTATCAACTTTGGTCAAATTAGATCACTTAAACATCATTGATCATTTATTGTTGCCTTGAGATTTTAAAATGAATGATATACTTGATAAAAAGTAAATGAAACTTGTTGTTGAGGGACTTTGATTTTATCAATCTTCTAATGAGTTTTCAAATGCAAGTTTCAAGATGGTCATTCAACTAACCTCTAATTTCTAACTCATTATCAATTGACTTTATTTTATGCTTTTATTTTATGCTTTTACTTTAAGCACATTTATTTTGGCATTTATATTTCATGCTATTTTCATCTTTTTTCTCATTTGAGCATTTACTTTTATGTCATTTTTATTTTACTCATTTGAGCTTTCATTTTCTTTTTGAATATACCTAATAATCAACTTGAACCATAAAACTTTAATGTTACTTGGACCACTTGGTTACTATCATTGGCATTATGGAGATTGTGGACTTCTTGGATTTTGGATTAGAAGTTGTGACATACTTGGAGACCTTGTGACCTCAACTGTTATTTTTTCTGGAGTTTTTCGGGTTTACCCCAAGATATTGGGTTATTTGCTTGTTTGCTTTGTGTGCAGGTTATTGTGATTACATGCTTTGTCTGTGATCGAAAATTCATCTGTATATAGTCGTTACTCTGCCCAATTTTTGCGAAGACTTAATACAATTGAAGCATGGTTTTCTTAAGAGGTTCATTATATTTGCTTGTTTGGTTTCAAATCCAAAGGATGTGAATTCTACATTGACTCATTGTGTCAAGTCTTGGCTTCTTGTTGGTTAGATGGTTCTTTTCCCTAGCTTTTACCTTATACTTTAGGATATTCCCTTCATCTTCTCCTATCTTCTTTAATTTCAAGAATCTTCTCCATCCTTTTGAAAACTCTTCTTGTTTCAAAACTTGAACCACTTTCATAATAAATTTGGACTTATGTCCATGCATTTTCAAAATATTTTCTTAATCAAACTTTAATCAATTTAATAATACGTGGATATTTTTTTTGAGAAGATTAAAATTCAATCAATCTCATTCAAACCATTTTGCCATTTTGGCTTTTTACCTTAAAATTTTCTCAAAAGATTAGACTCTTGTCAATCCTTGTAGTGATGCAAACAACTATACTTCTATAATATGTACTGAAGGTAGATATTTTCCATTTGGGTGTTGAGTAAGGCTTTGTTGATTTTAAAATCCAAGCCATATCCTCCACTTTGAGATGATGCAAATTCTCCTTTCTCATAATTGTGGGTAGTAAGTATGTTTTCCACTCGGATAATGACGATGATGCCTCGTCTCTTAAAATTTAACCAACACACTTGTGTTTTAAAATTTTTAAAAGATGAATTACGAGTACCCTAATCCCCTATTGCAAGGAAGATGGTGCGTAGGAACTAAAGGTTCGCAACCGCGACGGGTGCAAAAATTATTTAAAAAAAATACTTCTTTTCTCATCTCCACCATCTATTATTTTATACAACATTTATAGCCGAAATACACATATTTACAAAGAGGTTCCTACGGAGTACCGTAGATGTTTAGGATGCTAATACCTCCCTTTTACATAACCAATCCCCGAACTTAGATTCTCTCCCCCTCTTTTTGGGTTATTCGCTCTTTTCTCATTCCTTTGGAAAAAATAAAGCGTGATGACGGTTTTTATTTTGATATGTGTGAGTCAAGTCAATTCAATGACTTAGTCTCAACATTTCTACCGCTATAACAATCAATTGTTAACCCAGTTCAGTGCAACTCACCTACTCAGGAGGCATCTAAGACAGGAAGGAAAACCACTATAATAGTATTAGTTAAAAGCCTAAACAATCCCAACTTACAATTTATCATCTAATCACTACCTATTCAATTTCTACCTAGAACTTTCTAGACATGAGACCCCCCTCTCACTTCCCACAATAACCTCTATGATAAAATCAGTCACAAATCAGTGAAAAGAACCAAAACAAAAGATTACACTTCCAATAAACAATACTCAACTCCTTGCTTAAAAGCCCATGAGTGAGAACAATAACTTGATACACAATTAACTCTTTGCTTAAAAACGCATGAGTAATTTCAAACAACAATGAATAATTAGTCTACCTCAATGTATCAAAAGATACATGGGTGACACATAAAATACACAAGAGAATCTCAATACCTAAGACTCTAAATTTTCCCTTATTTTTTTAAATTGTGAAAAGCCAAATTACATTAGGTTTAAGTTTCTCTTTATATACTCCTCAGAAGTCCATGGACTTCGAAATCTTCACCCAGATATTTTTTGATCCACAAGCCGAGGGTTGTACCCATCATGTAGAAAAATCTCTTTAAATCTTAGAACAAAACATCAAATTTCCTAAATTGTCTCAACATTCAATTATAGAAACTTATGTACAGTTGGGGATCAAATCAATTTTTCCAGATTAAATCTTCTTGAGCTGCACAAATAAATGAGATATATCCAAATGGAATCTCACAAAATCAAATCAAATATATAAATAATAACAAGAGCCTATATTGATGTTCTGGTACAACATGTCGCAATATCTGTCAGAATATTTGTCTTCAATATAGACTGACCAACATGTTAGGATATCTCACACAATATCTTATTGTGAACCATGTTTTAGCAAATCTGTTGCGAATCCTAAAATCATGGATCTAACAATCTCCTCCTTTGGCAAATTTTGGTTAAAACAACCTTAGCACAATCAAACTGGAGAGAGGAATAAAACCACAAACATAAAACATAAGCTACATGAAAAACATGTAAACTTTGTATAAACTGCAAACATAAAAATATGTCAGAGATACATTGCAGTTAGTTACAAGAATATTTTCAAAAACTCATGAAGTCAGATGTCAAGTCATATGGTTTGATATCATACCAACACAACTCTAACACATATAAGAGCTCAATGCTAAGAATAATACTCAACAACTTCAGACAGGATCATTACCCCCTATCACACATAACCAATCCTCTCCCTCAAGAGAAAAAACTCAAATCACAAGAAAACCAAATCTGAACTATTAGAGCTCACATATTAGAAGTACATGCACCATAAGTCTCACAAATAACTCAGCACCAGAGTAATAGATTTGTTGCACCCTAAATTTTATCCTCAATTTTTCATTTACCTTATTTATATCCAATTTAATTTTCGTTTGCATCGTTGCATTTTATTCGTACATTCACATTTGTTTCCAATTTAAATTATTATTCAAATATTTTTCTTTTTTTACTTTTAGATTAATAATATTATTTTATTTTATCATTAGCATTTAATAAAGATATATAAAAAATATGTATTTTTATTTATTTAATTAAGTTTTAATTTAGTTTTTAATTTTAGATTATAAAGAAAATATTTACAAAAAAATTATTATATATGTTTTTTTTCTTTTTTATTCATTATTTAAAATTAGATTTTTAGTTTTTATTTCAATCTTTAGAAAAATATAAATATTTGTTTAAGTAATAAAATAATTTAGTTTTTGTGCATTAATTAATATTTGTTTTTATAATTATCTCCTGACAAATATCTCTACAAGGGTTCTTTTAGTCTTTATACCAGACCTAGATTATGGATAAGGTTTTTACGTGGTTGATACAACAAGGAAAGAGGCGGATCGATAAAAGGGGCAGAGAAAATTGATATAAGAAAACGGATCCGTCAAGCTCCCAATATCATCCTTCATCACCATCATCGCAACCTCCTTCCATCACTATCCATCATTACTTTTCCTCCATTTACTACCGCATCTACATCCCTCAATCCACAAAGACCTTTTCTCTGACTTTCCACTGAACCCAGTAACACCATCCATTGCCGTCCTCACCATCTCAAAAAAATCACGTCTCATTCTCGTTTGAGTTGATTTTGTTTAAGTTAAGACTCTTTTAGTTATTTGAGTTGGTTTCGAACGAATCCTCAATATCATGATTAATTATTACTTCGATTTGAATTCATTCGAAATCATTGCTACATTTTGAACCAATTGGAACTTATGATGGCAATACAATATCGTTGGTTTTAATCTTGATGTGTTACGTTATTGAATCGTTTTTGAAAGAAGATTGTGATGATATTTGGTTACATTTGATTTGTATTTGAAAGATAAACTCGGTTATGGCCTTGTGTTTGTTTCTTTGCGTTGTTTGAACACATTTGCGATGAATTTTATTGAGCATGTTTTGAGTTAGGAAGTTGCTGCCCGGATTGAGGGTTCAAAGCTTATTTTAAATTCGATTTTTCATGTTGCAACGTGAATCTTTGGCTCTTGTTTCATTTATGTTTTGAAAATCATGATTATTCTTGAGTTTATTTGATTGAATGTGTTTAGAACCATGTATGCTTTTCTGTTTTTTTAGCTTGCCATTGATAATAGCATGAATTCTTGACTCTCATATCATTTGTGATTGAAAACAATGTTTAGGTTATGTTTGCTTGACTTTGAATATGGTTAACATAGTAATTGCAATGCAGATTTTTACCATTTAGATTGAATATTAACTTGTTTTCTTGGTTTTTAATTGAAAAATATTCATTTGTTCATGTTACTTTCATGCAAGTTTCATTTGGTTATAATTTCTCTTATGATTACTAACTTGTTGGTTTGTGCAAGTCTCTCAAGATGAATCAAGTAACCATTTCCTCTTCACACATTTTCTTCATTTTTTCAAATTTTGATTTATTTACTTGATTTTGTTATTAAAAATGGATTAGTTTCCTAAACTATTTTTCTTAACTCGATTAATTAAATTAATTAACTATTGATTATTCGATTAAACTTTCATTTCATTTTAATGTTACTTTGTTGCTTTTGTTAATTAACTAAAAGTCGATTTAATTATTTAATTTTGTTATAAAAAAATATTTAGTTTCGACTAATTAATTTTTCTTAACTTAATTACTTAACTTAATCAACTTTTAAGTTAAATAATTAACCATTCATTTCATGTTTCATTTAGCTCTGATACAAGTTTCTAATCCACTCGGATTTGATTATTTATTTCACATGAGATGTTCAGATTATTTCTATGCTATCCTGGTTTTGTCTGTTTGTTGGGAACTTCATCTGGTATAAAGATTCTTATCCGACACCTTGAGCTTACCTGGTATACTTTCCGGACTTGTGATTTATTTTGCAGTTAATGTGCTTTATCTGTTGCTTTAAGTATTATCTGACGCCTTGGTTTCTATGATACTGTCTGCTCGTGACTTATTTTCACCTGAGATTTGATATACTATTGGCTTATTTATCTACTTGTGGATTTAAAGCTAAAGGAATGAGAATACTATATTGATTTTTTTATATCAAGTATGAGCTTCCGTTTGGTCAGATCTTCCTTACTTTTACTTTTATATACATAGGATATTCTCTTTATCTCATTCTCATTTCTTTAATTTTCAAAATCTTCTAATCTTTTTTTCAAAACTTTTTTTTGTTTTATAAACTCAAACCGCGTTCATAAATAAATTTTGACTATGTCAAGTGACTTTTCAAACTTTTTTTCTTAATCAACAACTTGAAACAGTTAACAAATAAAGATGTGAATCATATGCAGTTGAGTCTTATGAGGATTAATGAAGCGGTGCATTTCAGAATCTTGCTCTTCTTTTATTTTTGAACTTTATTACGATTCAAATTACAAATTTTTTTTCAAGCTAACAAAATACTTCAACCTATTCAAACCATTTTGTGCGCTCGATCTTAATTTTTTTCCTTCAAGATTAGACATGAGTCATTCATAGTCGAGACATTATTTTCCCATCCATGCGATTGTAAAAATGTTGACTTTTCCACTTGAGTACCAGAGGTGCTCTCAAACTCCTACTTATGCTGATGCATTGTCCCTCTTTCGTACACCTTGTGAGCGTCTAGTTGAAATTTCTCTCCTAAAAATGACGACTTGTTTCTTCATTTAATATCAACCAACACATAATTTTGGTTTTTTTTTATAGTCGAACTATAATGCCCTGACTTTCTCATTGTACGAGGGAGTACATATGCACTAGGTCTCACGACCAAAGGCGAGCACAATAATAAAAAACATTTTCTTTTTGTTTGTAAATATTCATTCATTCCCTTTAGCAAGTAAATTTTTAGATAACACATCTTTTGATTTAAACAAACAAAGTGGATCATGCATAGTATCGTAAATGTTTAGGGTGTTATTACATTCCCTTTACATAATTGATCTCCGTAACTTGATCTCTGATCTCTTATTTCATTTTGCGTTTTGTTCGCTTTTTTTTTTCATTTCCCTTTGGAAACAATAAAGTGCGGTGTTGACTTCATTATGTGAGTTAAGTCAATTAATGACTTAGTCTCAAATTTTTACCACTACATTTTCGTATATACAGTGCCACAAGATTACCTGAGAGTAACCAGGGTTCTTCAAAAATACATTAGGCAAGATGTCAGAATATGTGGTTTGACATTATTGTACAAAGACACCACATCAGTAGTAGCAGCAGTAGAAGAACCAATAAGTATGATAGATAATCATGTTCCGCCTAAATAGTTGCATACAAAAAGCAATCACAATAGACTACTCTTCCCTTAGCAGTAGTACAGTTCTATCATATTGTTAGTCAACATGTCAAGACACGTGACATGACATCAGGACAAACAAAATACACTACCACTTTACTCCCTTTTTTTAGCCAAAAAATAGAGTAAATGTACAAAAAAATTGGAAACACGCAATGCAATAGAATCATAAACACATATGGAAGCACACAACAATAATGGAAACAAACAAAATTCATATGTAAACACATAATAACAACGAAAACAAACAAGCGCCTAAAGTACTCTTGTCCTTCTTTCCCGACTTAACTTCCAGCAAATGAACCTTTTTAACATCAGTATTTTTGGACGATCGACTCATATTGAAAAATAACTTGAGAGAAGGGAGAGGCATGGAGGTTTTGATTTTAATACAGAAGGTGGACCTTGCTTGTAATGATTGATCGGTCAAGGAGAGCGTGTTTGAAGGAAGTGTAATTATCCTTATTATTAGTGCGCCACTGACCATAGGAAATAAATATTCTCTTGTTCTTCTTTCTCACATCCTAAGCTTTGACTGTTGGGGATTCTTACAACATTTCAATTGACATTTCCTTGGTCAGATATAACCACATCCTAACATGTGAATGCTCTAATTTATCAATAGTACAAATTCCCAAAACATCTCATAAAATATCAATGATTTGCATCCCAAGATTAAAAAAATATCTTCCAGTAGATTCACACTAGTCCCAAGCTTAGAAGAAACACTAATGCTTGTAGCACGACCCCTGACAAAGTTGAAATTATGTTATAACAGATTTTAGATGTTCTATGACATGTTGGGACATCTGAATCTGAACAAACAACATAGACAAGGTATAAACATTTAAAAATAGTACTGAAAAGTAAACAACACACCAGAGTTGTTAACCCAGTTCAGAACAACCTTCCTACTCTGGGGGTATACCAAACTAGGGATAAAGTCTACTATAATAGTATCAATTCGAAGCTAAACTAGTCCCAAGTTTACAACTTCTCACTTAATCACTATTTGTGCTAAATTTCTATCTAATGCTCACCTAGACATGAGACCTTCCTCAATCCTTCATCAATCACAGACAACGATTGGACAAACAGGAAGACACACTTCCATGACAGAAAACTAGAAGACTCACTTCCATAACAATACCTAGTCAAGACTCTTGACTAAGAACACAACTTGGAGTTGCTTACAAGCTTCCTCCAAGAATAATACTCACTCTTACTTCACAGCTTCGAGGAAAATAATAATAGAGACATTACAACTCTATAACACAGTCCAACTCACAAACCGAGTGGAATACACAACCAACTCTCCTAGAGAGTGGTACAAACTCAAACCTAATGATTACATCTTTTCTAATTTGCGGCTGATTATTCTTCTAGGTTATAATGCTTCTATTTATAGCCGTTCTTCCAATTAGATTTGGGCTTCAAATCATAACATATCATATGTTACAAATCTTCAGAAGATTCTGCTACAAAATAGGTCTTCAATCAAATATTTCCTAAAAAGTATCATTATTTAGAAAGTCAATATTCTTCTTGATTCTTCCAGACCTTTAAATCAACGCCTTATAAGATTTTCATAATATTCTCAGAATATTCTGCATCTGTTAAATCATAATAGAATCCAATTGTCCAGTTCATCTCAGGCGCGATGTCTTATAACCCTACATAGGACATCTTATCTGACATGTTGCTTCAGATGTTGAAATACTTCAACTCAACATGTCTCATAGCACATCTTGCTTAACCTGTTCTTCATAGCAAGATAACATATCCTATTTAACATATTGTTGTTATATTTGTTTTACAAAAATTAATGCCAATTCTAAAACTAGAGAACTTACAATCTCCCTCTTTAGCAAATTTTGGCTAAAACAAATAACATAAATTACAATCCAGATTTCAGCAATAAACAAAAACTACACTCATAAGCAGTAGTCCTTAAAAACTACTGAACACAAGCAGCATGGCATCACGGAGTCAGTCTTCACAAGTACAATGATGTTAGGACATCATATTCGACATCTTCTTTATAGCATTTTGCATGAGCTCCATTTCAGCACATAAACTCAACACCAACGAACAATAACCTCAGGATAAAGGAGTAGAAAGTCCTGAAGTCAGTTGGTGTACATGAGGAAGAAGATATGAATTACTCCCCCTCAAACCAAGATGGATCTTAAAAGACCAATGATGGAATAAGAGAATCTTATATAAGAGCTTAAACAATAACCACCAATCAACCTAGGAAAATCAACCACCACCCCTGGTAACTCCGAACACAGGTCACAACTGTGTTCATAACTT